ACACGCTGTGTTTACAAAACTGAGTGAAAGTGCATGGACACAGAAATAAATAGCACAACATAGGGCTTCTACTGATTACATAGAATATGCCTGATTATGTAAAATAATACATACAAGAGGAAACTTAAAGATCATCGAAGACACTAACTTCTTCCCCTTCCCCAACATGCACACACACAATATACCAAACTTCGTTTTCTAGACTATGGGCTTCTGATTACTTGTCTTCAGGACAGGAGAATTGTCATATCTCTGGAGGTCCTTTTTATTTCCAAAGAACTCAAGTTATTTGAAAGTTGTTTTCAAGGAAGTTTAAAAATATGTCTGGGATTTGTTTTAATCAGGCATGAAAGATATGCAGACACAGAAATGATAATTATGAAGTCTATATTCACAGACTCCTAGGAACAGGAGGTGTGACATGCCACACAGGCCACGTGGGGAAGCATGAGGGTCGTCAGGAGGCAGAGGGAGTCAGGGGAAAACATGGGCAAGATTTTTTACTGTGGTTTCCATGAGGAGGAACTCATGAGGTGGAATAAGCAGGTTTAGGATTGGCTAGTTTGAGTAATTCAATGGGCTCTGGGACATAGCCACTCTTTCTAACTGTCTGGCATCTGGCCCTGGGGTGATAGAGACAGGTGGATAATGGCCAGATAAAGAAGGTAATTGGAGGCCATCCACAGGATCAGTCTCTCCATAGGATATGTTCCTACAGGGGAACTGTTCGTTCTGGATGTATTAGTCCATTCTTATCCTGCTATAAAGAAATACTTGAGACTGGGTAAATTATTAGAAAAGAGGTTTCACTGACTCACAGCTTCGCAGGCTATATAGGAAGCAGGGCAGCATCTGTTTCCAGGGAGGCCTCAGGGAGCTTTTACTCATGGCGGAAGGTAAAGCCAGAGTAGGCAACTTCATATGGCTGGAGGAGGAGGAAGTGGATGTGGAGGTGCCACGCACTTTTAAGTAACCAGATCTTGTATTATATGAGAACACCACCAAAGGGATGGTGCTAAACCATACATGAGAACTTCACCTCCATATTCCAATCACCTTCCACCAGGCTCCACCTTCAACAATGGAATTAACAATTGAACATGAGGTTTGGGTGAGGACACAGATCCAAACCATATCCCCAGGGAAGTACGCATTTGTCATGCTGCAGATACTGAGCAATTTCCCTCCACTGAGGCTCCTTGTTGCTTTGCTCTTAATTATTATAATTTTGTAGTATTCTATACTTAGTTAGCTAATGTTGTTAGCTGATCATTCTCTTATCTGTATGTCTATAATTATTGAAATAGGAGGTAATGAAAGTCAATTTTCCTTCCATTGCCCTATTCCTTTTGTACGTATACCCAGAGTGATTGGGGAATGTGGGCTCTGGATTGGTTGGTGTGCAGATGAAAGGCGCACTCCCAAGCAAGTTGTTTGCCATCTCTAGGAATTAGCTGCCCTGGGAGCAGTAGTTTCTCTTGAGTTAGCAAGGCTCAGATGTCAAAACACCAAACACAGAAATTAGAAAATGTGGTTATTACAAGGGATGAGCTGCAGCTGCCTCTGCGTTTCCTACCCCAAGTCTGACCTCTGCGCTGTGGGGCTTTATGCTGGGATTTTCTCCAGAAGGCTCTCCGCTCCTTGCAGCCGGTCATTCTCCTCTCACTCTGCTTCCCTGCCTGAGTCAGGACTGAACTTTCTCTCTCACTTGTCTCAGTTGAGAGACACCAGTTTATCCTTTTCTTCTCCTGTGTCCTGTATATTACCCAGCACATGGTTGGGAACATTCTAGTTGCATTTTGAGCACTTACAAGTCTATCCATAGAATGTGTTCCTGCAGGGGAATTGTTGGCTTCAGGGAAATATGTCTTTGTCATGCTACAGATACTGAGAAATTTCCCTCCATTGAGGTTCCTCATTGCTTTGTTCTTCTTTATTATAATTGTTTAGTGTTCTATACCTAGTCAGTTAATGTTGACAACTGATCATTCTTCTCTGTACTTCTATAAAATATTAAAATAAGAAGTAATGAAAGTCAATTTTCCACCCACTGCCCCATTCCTTTTTTATCTATACCAAGAGGGAGCTATAATAATATTCAGTTGATAATGCTTTTATAAAATATTTTTCACCTCTTCATTGTCTGGAAAAGCAGCCCTAAGCCATTAAAATAATACAGGAGGCGGGGTGCGGTGGCTCACGCCTGTAATCCCAGCACTTTGGGTGGCCAAGGCGGGTGCATCACGAGGTCCAGAGATCGAGACCATCCTGGCCAACATGGCCGTCACTACTAAAAATACAAAAATTAGCTGGGCGTGGTGGTGTGCACCTGTAGTCCCAGCTACTTGGGAGGCTGAGGCAGGAGAATTGCTTGAACCCAGGAGACAGAGGTTGCAGTGAGCCGAAATCATGCCACTGCACTCCAGCCTGGCACCTGGTGACAGAGCAAGACTCTGTCTCAAAATAATAATAATAATAATATATGAATGAATCTGGGTGGCATGCACCAGTAGTCCCAGCTATTCAGAAAGCTGAGGAAAGAGGATCACACGAGCTAAGAATTTGAGACTAGCCTGGGCATAAGACCCCATTTCAAAAAAAAAAGTATGAATTAATAAAAAACATAAGAATGTTATAAGCATTTTGATTAAACAAAAAATGATAGGGTAACTACAGGAAAAAATTTCTATAGAAAAGTTGATAGCTGGTTTTTAGTAACAGAAGGAAAAGTGGACAAGTCCAAATGGAGTATTTCCAAATAATCTTTCTGAACAACAGCAGGAATTTACAGCACTCATATTTTACACTTTGTTTTAGAAATCTCATAGCACTTCAGGAAAAACAAATAGAAGGGGAAATTGGTGATAATAGCACAGATTTTCCTTGAGACAGGAACTATTTAAGTTTTGGAAAGAATTTTTCTGTGCAAGAAGAAAACTTGTGCTTAATCATCTACACTACCCATTTGTCCAACCGGCCTCAAAGACAGCCCTTCTCTGACCTTTCATGGTCTCAGGGAATTTCTCGCATGAACAAAGTTCAGAATCTATACTTGATGGCTACTCTGCAGGAGGACTGATAAATGGGTGAAAATTTTTATTTTTTGAAGCTCAGCATCCTGATGCTTATTTGGAGTGTTCTTTACTTTCTCATTTTCATCTTATATCTTAAAATTCCTGGTCAGGTGTGGTGGCTCACACCTGTCTCCGCAGTTTGGAAGGCCAAGTTGGGCAGATCACCTGAGGCTGAGGTCAGGAGCTCAAGATCAGCCTGGCCAATATGGTAAAACCCTGTCAGTACTAAAAATACAAAAGTTAGCTAGACATGGTGGTGTTTGCCTGTAGTCCCAGCTACTCGGAAGGCTGTTGAACCCAGGAGGCAGAGGTTGCCATGAGCCAAGATCATGCCACTGCACTCCAGCCTGGGCAACAGAGTGAGACACCGTCTCAAAAAAAAAAAAAAAATCATTTTTCTACTGCAGAGGAAGAACAGAAAAACTCAGCTTGCTTTTCACATTTGACCTAGCACTTGAGTATGTGTGACCTAAAAGATCAAAGATCTTTTTGTAGCAGTGTTTTATGATTAAACAGTACAGCGAGCATATAACATCTGTGCCCCAAGGAACCATCTGAATATAGAACCTTCTCCAGTATCGTCTAGTCTGTGTATCTAATGGGAAGAGCGCATTGAGGAGGTAAGTGGAATGTGTTTCACCTCCCTTAAGGCCTTTCAAGTCTGTTCTCCTGGCTACCCAAGACTCTTACCTCATCATCATCTTTGACTTCTCGTTGTCTCTGAGATGATGTATTAACCCATTTGTCTCAAATGTCCACATACTTCCCAGGTGTTATCAACCTTATCTTCTTACCATTGCAACAAATGCAGTCCTGCCTTCAAAGCTCCCTTCTTTGACTCTCTGAGTCGTTTCTGCACTTACCGGCTTCTCCCCAGCACAGACTCCTCCAAAGGTTGACACTGATGCTGCGTTCATCTTTCAAAATCTTTCTCTTCATTTTGTTCACATCCTCCTTCCCCACACTGTTTTAAAGCTTTCAACAATTTTTCTCCACCTAACAATGGACACCACTGGCCACTTTCTCAGTGCCAGGCCTGCCTTAGTTCATCCTCTCAAGGACTGCCCTTGACAGAGGTGAAAAATGAAGTGGTCCAACTTCGCAGAGTTAGTAAGTGGGAGCCCCAGCCTTTGGTCTCTCATCTTTCTAGTGTTAGAGACCATATTCTTAATGAGTATACTCTGCCTTCTTCAGAATGCATTCTAATATTCGAAATTCCTCATTCTAAGGAGCTGAAAAATCTAGGCCCATATTATTTCTCACCACTTGAGCTCCCTGCTTCATCCCAAAGTAAATTATTTCTCTCACTAGTGAGCCACTTACATGCCTGCCTTCCTTTCTTTCTTTGTCTTTCTCTCTCTCTTTCTTTCTTTCTCTGTCTCTCTTTTTCTTTCTTTCTGTCTTTCTTTCTCTCTCTCTTTCTTTCTTTCTTTCTTTCTTTCTTTCTTTCTTTCTTTCTTTCTTTCTTTCTTTCTTTCTTCCTTTCTCTTTCTTTTTTCTTCTTTCTTTCTTTTTCTTCTTTCTTTCCTTCTTTCTT